ATTTTACAGACATCACCAAGTGTAGAGTTCAGCAAACGTTTTTGGAGATTTTCTTCCACTCTACTGTGCAAATGCACAGCTTTGATGTTCTGCCCAGTGCCTTTGCCCACTGTTGGAATGCTTCCCCCCACCGACAGATTCTTCCCCAATTAGAATTTGTTTCCTGATCCCCACTCCCCACAAAAAAAGTTTCCCTACTCCAGCTATAAATACGGTTTTATTGTAGTGGGTTGGTTTAAATCAGAAGCTGAACAAACGTAGACCTCCAAGTGGTTTCCAGTTCCTAAACAGTAACAGACACAGAAATGATCACTTTCTGGACACTCTAAATCAGGCAGATTAATCAAGAAAGCTTAGAGTAGAGTTATATGTGAATGATTTGTGTGTAATCTGTAGGGGAAATGATTTCCTGGACTGAGTATATGCCTTAATTCCAGATCTTGGCAATGCTACCTTTTCAACTACAATACCCAGAATGTCCTAGACAGCACAACCAGGGGCAGTGATTTTGGGAACTGTAATCCAAAGAAATAACTTTTTGCAAGCTCTGTATACAGTAACTCTAAGCAAATGTCTACTTTCTTGATTTACTGTTTTTATGCATGGCTTTAGTTGATGGACCTTGGGGTTTAGTTAAAAACAAAATGGATCCTGCAAACCTAGATTTGTTGTTTGTTGCTGTGCACCTTCAAGTCATTTCCAATATGGCAACCTTAAGGGTTTTCCTGGTAAGTGTCTTCAGAGGGGATTTGCCATTGCCATCCTCTGAGGCTGAGAGACTGTGACTTGTCCAAGGTCACCCAGTGGGTTTACATGCCCAAACCAGATTAGAACCATGGTCTCCAGAGTCATAGTCCACCACTCAAACCACTACACCATTCTGGCCCCTAATTTACTGATTTAAATAACTAAAAAAGAAAGAAAAATAAAATCTGCTATATAGTCCACTTAAATTAGAATTCCTTTTTTTAATAGTTTGTGCAGTCTCTAAATATTGTTTGCAATCAATCAAGCTATCAATTGCTTGTTAAGTATTTATTGCAAACAATATAGCACACTGATGTGAAGATGATTCTTTAGGCTCCCAGGAACCATAAGCAGAAGAAAATAGTAATCAGCCATTGTTCTGTAAATGGTTATGAGTTCACCTACCTGCTGTAACAGGTAGATTTGACAGCCAGTCTCAAGCATGCTTTTACTTGTGCATGGGGTTATACAGCCAGATCTTAAGATTTTTGGGTTTAGTTTTACTTTCCCCATATAGTACAATGTGAAAACAGAACTTCTGTGAACAGAAGACGTCTTCTGGACATGGAAGGATATATTTGGATCCAACTCTTGTTTCCGAAATTTCCTAAAGGTTTCGGAAGTTTTTTTTCTGTTTGTCTGTCCAGTTTGTCTGATCCGTATTATCATAATACTGGAGGTAGGTAAATTTCCCAAGAGCAGAGGCTTCACTGGGACAATGCCACCACAGATATTTGGTCAGCTGCCACTGAGGTTCCTGGAACCACCACAGTTGCCAATGAACCACAGAATCATAGAAGCGGAAGAGACCACAAGGGCCATCCAGTTCAAACCCCCTGCCATGCAGGAACACACAATCAAAGCGCACAATCAAATCAAATAATTGTTTCTTTATTGTGCAAGAGGGTGCTGGATAACCCTCCTGAACCACAGAATCCCTCC